TGGGTATCAATCTCCATCTCTGATAGCAAATTTCCATGATCATCAAAGGTCATCAAACAAGCGGCATGAGGAGCAAGATGAGCAAGCTTTGCTAAAGCATCTGATGATTTCCCTTTGGCCATGACCTCCAAATACTTTCCAAGTTGAATGAAGGAGATCAACATGGAGCTAAACTCAAAGAAATCTTTCCCTCTAAAAGAGTTGGAAGTGGATGCTTTAAATACTATGTATACTGAGTAAAAGTATGCTGCATTGGTGCCTACAGCAACCAAAACATCCATATTTGCTGATTTTTGTTGTAATGCACGGTATGATCCTACATAAAATCTGTTAAAAATTATCCACAAAACCATTAAACTATCTAAAACACATTTCAACTTCAAGAAAACAACGACTCTAAACCTTAAGCTGTAACATTCTCATTTTCAGCTCCTTTTTTCCTGTTTCTTGTTTTTCTTGACAAAGAAAATAGTAACTGATCCTTAATTCCTTATTCCTGCCTTTTTCCATTGAAAAATAAGACCATAAATGTGTTAAGCAGCACTTTCTTATTCAAAATGCTCTTGAATTTATCCAATATTTCACAGTTTCAACGCTGCCTCTTATCACCTCTCTCCACACACATGCAAAGAAAAACATGTCACTTAAGAACAATGCAAACCTTTTTATGAACAATTGGAAAGATTTAACAAAATAACAGAGATTGAATTAAAACTTATAAACCCTAAGACTAAAATTAAACCAAACATAGCCAAATAATAATTTAATGAAATTTAAGAAGTAATCAGTGTTCACCCTTTTAAACAATGTCCATTTCTAATGGAAACCCATTTTTCTTCTCTGTCTCATTTCTTTGGGAGAAACTAGAAACAAGAAAATGTTACCTAGTTGTTAGAAACTACAGGCTAGCAGAAATGAGAAACAGAGACTATGAAGAAGCGAATGGGAAGAAGCTGATACCACCACAATATTGATAGTTCCAATGATATTGATGATAAAATTACCTCCGGCCAGCAAAGAACTGAACTGGTGTGCAGAAGATCCATTTAAGAACCATTCCAACAGTAAGCATATTGTAAACCCTAAAATTCAGCCACTCCCCATAAGGAGGAAGCATAGGAAGCACCATTGCAAAAGCCACCACAGGAACAGAAAACAAGCAGCTGAACAAGAACAAGTTCCTATAAGTACAAGCTTCTTGATGCTGCTCCACATCTCTTCTCTTCGGTGGCACATACAAACTCGCTCCGTAGCTCTTGAGGCACTGCAAAAGAGATCTCGGACCAGTCCGGTCAGGGTCATAGTGGATGGAAACCATCTGCCCTAGCCCATCCATTTCAACAGAGTTCACTCCAGAAGCTTGCTCGAGAGAGGTTCTTATGGCGGTCATGTCCGCAGGGCCAACTTGATCGAGTTTTATATGAACTTTGTAGGCCTCGTCTGCGGCGGAGATGAGCTCGGATTCGAAGCCGGAATCATCGGTGGCAGCGAGGATTTCGGCTTCGTTGGTCAAATTTGGATCGAAGAAGATTTTGGCTTCATCTATTCCGGGACCGATGAGTACTCGTTTGACGCCGTTGACCATGCGTACGGCATGTTGAAGAGATCGGGCTTTGGCCGTGCAGACCATTCTTCTGATTCTTAGACGACATATTGCAATGACTTGTTCTGAGAACTCCTCGGCCGCGAAACCTCCGGCTTCTAGAAATTCTGCCACTCTGTCTTCCTGTGATATTCCGACGACATACTTGTGATCGGAAACGTTATTGTTCTTAATTTATTTTCACTCTTATCACGATAATAATACTTCTATTAATTCAGTGAATTATAAATATTTATTTATTTATATTATACGTGTGAAAATGGTTTAGAGATTTAGATTAAAAATTTTATTAAATTAATTTTGTATTAAGCTTATAATTTATTAGGTAAAGTTTATTACAGCTGATGAATTTTATTATTATTTTTTTGTTATCTCATTTATAAAATTTTTAAATTTTCAACCTTTTAAACTAAAATATCAGTTCGAAAAATGTATCTATATATTTTTTAATTTGATTAAAATTTAAAATTTAATGAAAATATTAATTATAAGGTGGAGGACTTACATTATCGAGGTCCAGTGGATTTAGAGGCACCTTAAGATCATTAATACTGCCATCCATCTTACCCTACCCTACAACACACAACCTAAAATTTATTAATTTATAATATATATATATATATAATAAAAAATAAAAATTCTTAAAAATAAATAGATCTCATTATTCTAATTATTTTATAATGGTTTTTTTTGAAAGATTAATAATTGTTTTCAAAACCTCTCATTTTATATTTTTTTAAATTATTTAAAAAGGTTAGACAAACAAAATTATAATAATATTTGACCATATATTCTTAAGACTTCTTCATATTCTCTTTGAATAATTTTTTTTATCGCATCTTCATCATATTTTAAGTAATTTAGGTTAATATTCATCTTTAGAATATGTTAATATGATATAAGACTCAACCGTTAAGATGCTCAAAATACTTTAACTTGGTATTTTTTTTAGAATTATATTTAGAAACATGCACAGGATAGGCTGGGTAGAAAAAAAATATTTTGGATCAACATACGTGAATTAGTTTGGTGATTCGAGCAACTTGACTAAAGTTTACAATCCAATCCAACCTAACCATCTATTCTCTAATTGGTTTGGGGTGGTATCTGATTATTTTTAATTATTTAAAAGTTCTACTTATCTACTACCATCTTAAATTTATGTTTACAGGTAGCAACTTATCACCAACCTTGTTAGTAAATTTAAATATTTTTTTATGTTTTCGAGAGTTGAGTGAGATTTAGTAAAATATCAACCAACAGATCCTTCTTACTTCTAATAAAAATCTTTCACACATAAACAAATATGGATTTTTGTTCTTGTTTCTAATCCCAAAACAGAAAATTTGAAAACTATAATCAAAGCAACAATGGCAAGATCTATTAATTAAACAAAATGGAGAGAATGTTAAAAGAAAAAAAGAAAAGAAAAGAAGAAATGAGGCATTAACGTTACCGGTTGTTGTTCGGATCAGACAAATCAAGTTTAGGAAGAGAGGAGGGTGACAGTGGTGGTCGGAGAAGCCGTCGGCCGGAGAATGGGGAAGAAGTGGCACCGTGCAGACTGCAGACGGACGATCTTTTTTTTGTTTTTTTTGTTTTTATTAATCCGGTGGCTGCCGGAAAAGGAGAGAGAAAAGGAGGAAGGGGGAAATGGGAAGAGGAGAGAGAAAGTGTGTGATTTGGGTTGGTTTTTGGTTAGTGGTGAGATGATGTGGCGTATTCAGGAGCGTGAAGACCGAGTCAGAGAAAGACGGAAGGCTTAGAGGTCTGTTCATTGCCTGAAAATAGCTGCAAGTATTACACACTAAAAATTTCAAAACTTGAGGTTGTTTTGGGCTTCTATTGGCTTTTTTTTTTTTTTTTTTTAAATTACTAACGTTATCCTCAATTTTTATAATAATTTTAAAAATTTTATAGTGTTGGTTGTAACTCTATTTTCGAGTTTGTTTGATTAAAAATGGATTAAAGGGATTTTTTTTAGTTTAAGGTCTAAAAATGAAAATGATGGACGATACTGTGATGCCCCACGCGTTGGTTGGGGGAGGAGAACAAAACACCCTTTCTAAGGGTGTGGAAACCTTCTAGCATATGGGTTTTAAAGCCTTGAGGGGAAGCCGGAAAAAGATAGCTCAAAGAGGACAATATCTGCTAGCGGTGGATCTGGTATCAGAGCCAGACATTAGACGATGTGTTAGCCTTCTTGTTGTTCCTTGAAGGGGGTAGACATGAAGCAGTGTGCCAATAAGTACGCTGGCCCCAAAGGGGGGTGGATTTGGTGGGGGTTCCACATCGATTAGAGAAAAAAACGAGTGAGTGTGTGGACGCTAGACCCCGAAAGGGGTGGATTGCGATGTCTCACATTGATGGGGAAGAAAACAAAACACCCTTTATAAGGGTGTGGAAACCTTCATACGGTTTTAAAACTTTGAGGGGCAGCCCGAAAGGGAAAGCTCAAAGAGGATAACAATATAAGAGGACAATATATGGCATAGTACTCGGTTTTATAATTGCATTATTATGGCAACGGGATAACGATTGTGCGACATTTGTTCTAACCCGACAAACAAGTCAATCGTGAAAAATTTAGGCTAAGCGAACAAATAGCCATATATGCTCGAACCTCAAGTCATGTTTGAGAGAAATGATTTAGAAAACATGGGTGATAAAATATGTTAAAAACAATTTTAAAGAAAGTAATGTTACAGGCTAAAAACAAATAAGCAATAACAACAGTTTTGATAGTATATAACCCGAGTAGGAAGAAGTAACAACTAGTCAATCTCCCTATAGTATATACTTTGGGACATTTTAACCTTGGTAGGTGTAGACATGATTTTGGTTACTAGTCATAGACCACCTATTAACACAACAATAATACTAAAGACTTATCTAACATGAAAGCAAGTAGAAGGGGTTTGGGACGGGCATGCGGTCATGGACAACACGTGCTAGATAAGTATGACCAAAATATCCAAACGCGCGACTACAAGCAACACATCTTAGATAAGCATGACCATGACACTTGACCACATACATTCTGATACCCAAGTCAACTACGGTTTTCAAGAAGTCTAATAGAAATTAGGTTTTACGAGTACATTACAGGTGCAATCTCCTTTTGTAATTACAGAAACGAGCTAACATTTTACGGGAGTATGCTTAGGGTTACACCAGGCATAGGTCAATCTTGTTTATTTAACAAAAGAAAAAAAAAATGGGACTTTTACATTTAACTGCCCTTTTTAAACTTAATTAATTAATTTTTTTTTTGTTCAATTTATTTATTTCATTTGTAAGTTATATCGGTTAGAAAAAGAAAAAAAGAAAAAAAGAAATTAGGAAAATAAAAAACAGGAACTTTATCGGAGCGCCTCAATTTTCATTTCATATTTTGTTCACAGAAAAGATGAGATAAAAGCCGTTATCAATGAGGCCCATGTATTGCTGCGTTAAGCGATTGTAAATCGAAAAGTTCGAAAAAGCAAGATGAAAATTGGTGGTGGAGTGGTCTGTGGAAGTCCACGCGCCGCCGTTCTACCCTCACTGCTCCTCGGCCGCCGTGGAGTCACTATACGCTGCTCTTCATCTTCTTCGACTCCCGGTAAGTTCACCACGAGCTCATTTTTCGCACATTTCCCTAATAGATTTTCAGTATCTTAATGCCTTTTTGAACCATCGCCGTATTGCAGACCATGTATCATTCATCAAGGATGTTGCGGCAACTGAGCCTCCTCAGCATTTGTCTAATTTGTTGAAAATGCTGAAGACTAGAGGTATGTCGTTGGTCAAGCGCTTCAAATCATTCCTATCATGAATCTTATACCAATTAATCGCTAATACTTTAGAGCTTGCCCGATTGAATCCATCAATTTTGACCAGGCACTGAATTCTTCGTCCTTTAGAGTTGTTTACAAATTTTATTAGGAGTGTGAAGCTTGACACTCTAATTAGAATTGAAACAATAATGTCCTCGTGAATAGATTTCGATTCTATTGGCAATCCGGAGACCTAATTGCTTCTATCTCAACATTTTTATAAAACGATTAATAACCTGAGTTCTTGCTTCAATTTTCCTCTGTGGCATAAGTTTTTATTATTGTACGCTTAATCTATCGTTATGTATGCGTTTCTGCAATATATTGGGCTTGTTTGTTCCTTTATTTTTCCTCCTTGAACTTCATTCCATGTTCTATTTTCTGAAAATTATATGCTGTCATGTCATGCCTATCTGCATCCCCAATGGTTCTATCAGCTTCTTTGCATTTTCCTCTGCTCTATAAAATGTTGCATTGGCTTTTCTTATACTAGTAAATACTAAAAATAACTATAGAATTATTCAACCAATTATAGGCCTGAATTGCCACATTTTTTGAACCTGCAGACATATTCTTATCTACACGGGAATCTCCTGTAAATTGTTGGTTTTAAGCAGGTGAATCCATAATTTCTCCTGGAGCCAAGCAAGGAATTATTCCTCTTGCCATTCCACTGGCAAAAAACAGCTCAGGTATTATGTTAGAATTTTTCATTCAAATTGGTTTGCTTTATAGGTGTATGATATCTCAATCTATTCTTTGTTCTTGCTCCAAGGTACTATAACTGCATTGCTGCGCTGGCCAACAGCACCCGCTGGGTAATAAGAATAAACTTTTTACATTTTCTTATGGGTGCTTCATCCTCCATCTTAATAAACTTCTATCCTCAGGATGGAAATGCCAGTAGTAGACGTCAATAGGAATGGAGTGTGGCTACTTGCCAAGAACGTAAGTGAAGCATCTATTTTGCAGTTGTTTCCGATTTTTTAATGTTCTAAAACTATTTCCTTAGACACTCTGATACAGAATTCAGTTCTTTGTTGTGCAGGTGGATCAATTTATTCACAGACTTCTAGTGGAAGAAGATGCCAAAGGAAGTGGAGAGCAAAATGATGAGCTATTTCTTGCAGCAGCTGATGCTGGGCAGAAACTTTATGAAAGGGGCGATTTAGCTGAATCTCAGATCAAAAACATTGATGGGTATTTGCTGAAAAAGGTATTCTACAATTTCTCATGGTGCTTCTCTTGATTGTCCCCATCAACGTAAAATTTTGTATACAAGTGTTTTCTTAAATGTGGCGAGGTGTTTCCTTGTTGTGACAGGCAAGTTGGTTGTGCTCCTTGACAAAGCCGCTTGCCTTGATCATCACCTTTTTGGGGTCTCTCTAAAGAAACAGAATTTTCAGTTTTCTGATGTCTTTAGACTTCAGAATCTTCTTCTCCATGCGTCTTGAAAATAAAAGAGAATTTTTTATGTAAAAAATATTTTTATGCATAAACAGGTATCTTTAAAGTGTATTTAAGTAATATATTTTATCTTCTGTACTGCTATCTTGTTGCTGAAGAAGTAACATTTTTGCATAATGCATTTTGTGCTGGCATTATAGCCTTCAATTAGAAATTTTCCTCTTTTCTTTTCTTTTTCCTGTTTCTAAGTCTCACATCACACACGTTATACTTCTTAAGCACATTTTGGGTGAACACAATAAAAAAAAAAGGTTTAAATCATCTGCAATGATGTATCTTGCAGTGCCAGGTCTGACAATCTTTCAATCTCAGGTTGGGATATTTCCAGATATCATAGAACGTAAAATATTGCGCCATTTTGAAGAAGGCGACCTTGTAAGGCTGTCCTTTATGAAATACTGAAAGCAGTGAGTGAAAGAAGCTTTGACTCCATTTACGCACTTGAATATCTTTACCTGCTTGTGTAGGTTTCAGCTTTGGTGACGGGAGAATTCTATACTAAAAAGGAGCACTTCCCGGGATTTGCACGGCCATATGTATTTAATGCAGAGGTTTTGCTGAAGTATGTGGGGAATTTTTTTCATCACTCCAAAAATGCTTTGGCTGAGAATGTACCTAAAGAATCTGTGCTTTCTTCATGCTTCAGGGTGGGGCGTAAAACAGAAGCAAAGGATGCTGCGAGGGGAGCGTTAAAATCACCATGGTGGACCCTAGGCTGTAAGTATGAGGTATTGACTTTCTGGTTGATCTCTTTTGCCTTTTTCTTAATAGCTCTCTGTTTTAAGCCGCTTGCCTTGGGAGAGGTGGGGAAAGATAAAGCAAAGAATACTTTTAAAAAGTTGATCCTTGAGTTGGTTTTGGCTCATATTCAGGAAGTTGCTAATATCGCTCAATGGGAAGATGAACAAATTGAGTATTTGAAAGAGAAAGTCACAGAAGAAGGAAAGCTAGAAGACCTCAAAAAGGGAAAGGCTCCTGCCCAGGTTTTTCACTGTTCTTTATGGATTACTTTAAAATTATCAAGCAGACAAACATGAATTAGAACAGGTTATTTTGTCAAAACTACCCTTTGCATATGAACATTTTCATGTGTGTTGAGTGTCCATTTGATAACCATTTGATTTTTTGTTTTTGCTAATTAAGCTATAAATATTACATCCACCTGTGGATTTCTTTGTTTTGTTATCTACTTCTCACCTGTGTTTTAAAAAACTAACCCAAGTTTTGAAAACTAAAAATAGTAATGTTCAAATAATAGTTTTTGTTTTTGAAATTTGGTTAAGAATTCAAAAGTTTTCTTAGGAAAGATGAAACCTATCATAGAAAAATGATGAGAAAACAAGTACAATTTTCAGAAATTGACCGGGTCTAAACTAAACAAGTGGGTAATCTGTGTCTATGTCTTTCATATTAATAATCTATTATCATTTTTAAGTTTAAACTCCTTCCAATATGTTGACAATACTACTGTTGAAACATTAAAACTAAACGAAAAATCTAGACTGAAGATCAATTTTAAACCAAGAAATATCATTTAGTAGCCTAAAAAATTACTTCTACAAATTTTGTTACTGGCTTGTGCACTGCAGGTTGCCTTGGATCAAGCTGCCTTTTTGTTGGATTTAGCTTCGGTTGATGGGACTTGGGACATGTCTGTGGAGCGTATTGCTCAATGTTATGAAGAGGCTGGCCTTCAGGAGGTTGCGAGATTCGTACTTTTCAGAGACTGAATATAAACAGAGGCATTTTTCTTCTCTACACTCTTCATTTTCATTGTCCTCTTCCTTCTGGCTATATAATTATATCTGTATTTCTTCATTGTGTAAACATCATTCTTTTTCTCTCCCCTATGGATGAGACAATCCTTTCCCTACAAGAATCGGTAGACTGAGGGACAAGGAATACTCAAAGTTTCTCTTGATAAATTATAATGGTTTTTTCTAAAGCATATAAGAAATGTCAGAGAAATGTGTTTGAACATTTTTGTTTCCAATGTGATTAGTTTTGTTTTTCCTTTTCCTTTACCTGATTCATTTTATCAATAAGGTAAACAAGTGGGTAGTTGTTTGTATGTATAGCAAAATGATGCCTAGTATTGTGTATATGACAACCGAATAGAGCGTTTACTAGCATAGCTACCAATCATTTCGATATAAACACCCTTTAATTAAGGATAGTCTCTGATAGTTGATTTACATGCTCATAGTCGATCATCCATTGCTTGAAGATATTATTTTACAGCTGTTGCATGGCTCTTATCGAATGGTTGATTGGACTATGTAGACTCAGAGTGCTTACCAGTGTTCTAAGTTACTCATGTAAGATACTTGTGATGCCTTAAAGCTAACGAAATATGATGGATGGGTAGGTGCGAAGCGGTGATTCGCTTCTGGTTAGTCTGGAGCTAATGGTATAAGCCTGTGCCGTATAGAGCCTCTTAGACATATTTTGGGTGCTTGAGAGATTAGCCTGGGTTGGATTAACAAGTACTCAAGACTTAAATTGGGTTGCTAGCTACAGTTCACTCACATGGTTTGGCTTGGTTGGGCTATGTGGCTTCTACTCTCTTCTAATTGTGGCATACAAATTACAAACCACTTGGGCTAACTGGTTTCCTCCTCACTACTTTACTTCAGTTATTTATAAAATCTCACTTATAAAATAGTCATTTAGTAGGGACATCAAAATTTGAACCCTATTGACTTTAAAGTAGTCATTAACTGGTATACTTGTTAATGGTTAATACCTAATTAATGGTTTAATAACTATAAAATTAATTAGTAGTCATTTAAGTGTTATACTTGTTAATGATTAATGCCTAATTAATGGTTTAATAACTCTAAAATTAATTAATGCCTAATTAATGTACGTATTTCATGTTAATTTCTTTAATTAAATTTGAAAATGCAAATATAATTCAAAAAACTATTTGAGGTTTGTCATTTCTAAATTATAAGTTATTTAGGTGTTGATAACCAATTTAGACTATTTAATCCAAACTATAAAAGTTGGGTTGGATTTTTTTTTTTTTTCTCTCCACATTGAGTTGGGTTGAATTTTTAGAAAATAGAAAATCTGGTTTGGTTTGCGAGATGACATTTGTTATTTATTGTGTTATTTATTAGGATAGGGTTATAGTCTCACTCAACCAAAATATAAAAAATACATCATGTTTGTAACTTGTAAATATTTGATATTTGAACTTCATGAGATTCGAAGTGATATGTATCCAGGATAAATAGAATTTGTGAAGTCTATTTGGGTTGCTCGGGTCACCAATCCAACCGACCCAAAATTTTAAAACATGACCCATATACAACTCTAGTTCAACTTATTAATAATAATAATAAGTTAAGAAACTATTTTATTGGGTCACTTTTTTAATCAATTTTACTCCACATTACATTTTAATTTTAGTCACTCATTTACACTATTTAAATTCAATTAAAAAAAATATATTCATTCAACTTCGAAATTTCACTGTTAAAAACTATATGCAACACATTTCATATTATTCAAATTTAAAGTAAAACAATATCATAAAGTGCATTGCATTCCTCTATTTCCTAGTTCTCACAACATTGAACACATTAACCTCAACTTGTTCATCAACTTGTTCATCATTCACATGCATTGTCAACTTCCCACTTATCGGTTTGTCCCATTGCTAACAATCTTCCAAGTATAATAGGCACATCGATAAAGTTTAGCTTTGATTTAATGCATCGTTCTTTGTCATATACTCATTTGTTAATGTCTCCGGTGATATTGATAATGAAAGGTAAACATTTTGTTGATTATAATGATAGTTATGTTGGTTCTACAGGCCAACAATCAAATATGTCTGTCATCTTCACACCCTATACATTCTATTGATTCACACCCTATATATTCTATTGATTAAGTTCACTACAACACTAACTTACTAGCACCATCGTTGAATGTCATATTCTTCAACACATTCGACATCAATGCTACTTGAGTTATCAATGCCGTGATGAGATCGATTACAATCACTCTAGCTTACTTCACGGAAAGTTTTAACAAGTTTCTTGTTTTATTCCCATTCGATATTAGAGAATGCTACAACTTACAATATCTATCCTCTCACAATATCTAATATCGTCGAAGTTTAAACTTCACTAGATCATAAATAGACATGAAAACGTAGACGTATACGATAAAACAACACAAAGATATGAGGTCGGGCAATGTATAGTATAGTACACCATCCATGTCACATGACAGCAACTCAGCACAACAACATTCATTGGTAAGGTTATATGTTCATGTTTAGGCATGGATTTACAAAACCTGCAAAATTAGGAAGCATCCAATCCCTTATTATCTATATTTCCTATTTGTGCAGCAACAAACCAAACCAAACAAAACAAAAACCAGAAGTCAAAGAAGAGTAAACTTTAGCTGCCAATCTTGTCGTTAACTTGTTATGCACTTCATCCGCCGAATAGAAAGGCCTTTTTATGGCTCCTGCCTTTCTTCTTTCTCCATAAGAGTTTTCTCCACAGCCCCCCATCCCCATCTCCCTGCTTTCGACTCGGCACGATAGCCAAATTCCCAACTGTATCTTTGTCGACTCCATTTTTGTGTCCATTCCATATGAGGACTGCTTTCTGTGGATCGATTGCCTTATCAGGGTCTGACGTTGAAGTGTGATTGGCATCGACTTCCACAGGCTTCGGCATTTCATGATCTTTAGGGAAGGCATCATCCTCGGCTAGCATTTGATCTAGCAGAGAAAATCGGTTATTTGTCGTCTTGATATTAGAGACAGTTGGGGTCGAGGCTGTGTCTGTTGTAGGGGTGGGGGTGGTTATGGTGGTGGAGACGCTCAACGTTTGCGTTTCGTCGTTTGGATTAAGAATGACCTTGTCTAAAAGTGCAGCTTCCTTGGGAGTAGCCAGAGCCTTCAACTGCTTTCCGAGGTTTAGAATCGTCTCTTGGCACTCGGCTAATCTTTCAGAAGCAGTTGTTATCTCCCATTCCTGCAAGTTTGTGGAATACATTACAAATGAAAACAATATAACCCATCAAACCATTGGAACATGAGACTGTAGTAGAATATACTTTTATGGTTGCTTTGTAACAGCTCAAGTCCACCGCTAGCATATATTATTCTATTTGTGTTTTTTCCTTCGGGTTTCCCCTCAAAGTTTTTAAAACGCGTCTGCTAGGGAGAGGTTTCCACACCCTTATAAAAAATGTTTTGTTCTCCTCCCCAACCGACGTGGGATCTCACAATTCACCCCCAATGTCCTCACTGATACTCGTTCCCTTCTCCTATCGATGTCGGACTCCCCAATCCACCCCCTTCGGGACCAGCATCCTTGCTGGCACACCGCCTCATGTCCACCCTTCTTCGGGGCTCAACCTCTTCGATGGCAGATCGCTCGGTGTTTGGCTCTATACCATTTGTAACAGTCCAAGCCTACTGCAATATATATTGTCCTTTTTGGGCTTTCCTTTTCGGGCTTTCCCTTAAGGTTTTTAAAACGCGTTTGCTAGGGAGAGATTTCCACACCCTTATAAAGAATGCTTCGTTCTCCTCCACAACTAACGTGGGATCTCACAAAACTTAAAAGTTTCGTAAGTTCATAAGTCTCTTCAACTAATCAGAATTTCTACATCTTTGAACTAGGAGAGATAAAACAACTAAGGAACAGCCAGATATCTAATCTTCATCCAAACTATACATCTCAAGAGCATAATCAGTGTCCAGTAATGAAGACGCTTATAAATTGAAATGAACTTACCGTGCGTAGTTGCTTATCTTCCTGAACGAGATCCATGCTCGGGTTTTGTTTCCTTGTGCTGAAGAAAAAACATACCATATTTGAATAAAGAAATTTTATGATCACTAATGAAGTTCGGTAATAGAATCAAATAATCTTAAAACTAATGTATTTAGTTAAGTAAATCATAGAGAATTCAGAACCTTTCCAGCTGAAGTTGCAGTTCAAGGCATGTGGCTTCTAATTCTTCAAAGCAATTGTTTTTATTGTCCAATTCAACTTCAAGAGCTGTAAACTTTCTGCGAGTCTCATTTAGTTCGTTTTTCGCTGCCGTTAGCTGTGCATCGAGATCATGATTCACCACTTGCTGATTGACAATTTGACCTTCAATTGTTCCCTTTAATTCTCTAAGAGTTTCTAATTCCTTCTCCAAGTTGACAATCTTCTTTTCTGATTCTTGAAGTTGATTTGTTCGTGTTTCTCTTGCACCGTTCGTAGACTGAAACTTTGCTTCGAGATCGTTCTTCGCAGATTCTACGCTTGTAACCTCTTCTTTCAATTTTCTAGGTTCTTCTGTTAAGGTAGATTGCAGCTCTCCTGTTGGCACATCGTGGTTCTTTGAAATGCTATCCTTTTCCAAGCATGGAAACTGTTCTCTTAGAACACGTGATTTATCAACTTCTGAAACGTGCACCATCGTCCCTGTTTCCAGATCACAGTCGCTACGTGATTCATCCCAATCGAAATGCTTCTTTATGGATTCTCTCATGCTCGAAACGTCTTGAAGTGAAAAACAGTGGTTCATGATCCAATCCAAGGTAGAATTTAGGTCTTGTAGAAAGTTTTCAATGCTTGCCTTTCCATTCAACAGGTCATAACAATTATGCATAAACTGCTTCAAAATAGTGTTAAGTTCAGACATCTTCCATTGGAAAACTCGTACCATATAGCCTGTAGGTGTTTCTTCTGAATAGAAACTACCATCCTTTTTGTAGGAAGATTTATCATCATCCAAAGATGACACGCTAATCCCTTCAACGAGCTCAATCAGTCTTGACACTGAACCACGTATATCGACCTGATGAGTGATGTCAACCTCATTCGCATCAATCACTGAATCTATCCCCGAAGGCTTCGGAAACATGCTGCCATTATTACAAGGGACATTAGGTTCATCACAACGATTTGCAAACAGTTCTGTACCAATAAGTTTTTCAGGACTCCGGTGTATCATCGCTGCTCGAATATCCTCCAGTATTTGTTCGGGGTCTCTTTTCGAGAAGCTACTTTGGTCAAGGACCATTTTCGATATATTTTGAAGCCAATCAGGAACTTTACCCATTGATATATCTCCAGATATAACATCTGGGTATGGTAAACAGGAGCCTGGATTACTACTATTAGGCCGTAGGACTGTCTCCTTCGACATCGCTTCAGGGTGACATCTATTTAGCTCGGTTTCCACGGACTTCAGTTTTCCATTAACTTCATTTGAAAGAATATTTGAATTTGCAGCAGATTTTTCAACAGAGACAATAGCCAATTTCTCCATTTCAACAAAGTCATCCATCAGTTCCAAATCAGAAGATCCAACTATTTTGCACGTTGTTGGCGATCCTTTTAGCTTTCCATTTTTGAAGTGCTCGAATTCCGAAATCAATGGAGAAGCCCACGATTCAGCAGAGCTACCCCTATCCTCGCTCCCCGCATCAGACATCGAGGCAACTGGAAGCTCAGACAATGTTAGACCGCTTTTTCCTGATTCCATAACTTTTTGACCATTCGATAATTCATGGGGTGATGCAACTTGTAACGAAGATGTGCGAGCTTGCATGATTTTTATAACTTGAAGTTCGTTATTCTTTTTGTTGAGAGTTTCCTTGAGGGCACAGTTCTCTTCTTCCAAAGCTGACACTCTACAAGTTGCAACATTAAG